ATAGTAGAACAGAGGTCAATTATTAACACATCTTTGCACAGAGAAGAATATGAACAATTGACTCCGTAGAACAATTGTGCATGAAGGCGTTTCAGCTAGTACAGACAAATCAAATTCCTTTTATTCCACTCCCAAACAAATTGATCAATCTGGGATTTTTCAGTTTAGTTTTATTAATTTAATACATCCCAAATGATCGATTAATTCGGGCGTGGAAAAAAAAGAATTTGTTTAATGTGTACCAGCTGAAAAGCATTTGTGTACAAGTCTAGTTACTAGTTCAGGTTACTAGTTCGATAATAATCATGCTTCTGTACAATGGTGCTAAATATGCTGGTACTTTCTGTTCTTAGAGACAGTAATTGTTAAAATATACACTGCTTTCACTTTTGTTGGCCGATCACCATTGAATGAAAGAAATATGAACACCTCTTGCAGTGTGTAAATAGCATCCTCTTCATATACTTTGGGAGTGGCACCAGTTTACTAATAACTGCAGGTTGGTTAATTAATTAACAACTTCTGCGGCTGGAGAAAGCTACACGCTGCTATAAATGCTCATATACACAGTGGTCCGGCATGAAGTATTCATATGCAGTAGGGGGAAATGGTTATATCAACTAAATAGGATTTGCCTATAGTGGAATCATATTTCCCCCCTAATTTAGACATTTCTGTCTGCTCGATAATTTGACTTTCAATTCAATTTAGTTGATATTTAGAGAACAAATTCTGTCCATTCAAGCCTAGCTCTGGTTGCTGCCCTTGGATGACAGATTAACCTCCTCCAGTGCACATCTAGAAGATGTACAACACACTACAAAAAATCTAAAAGATGAAGGCATTCTTCAAAAAGTAGAAAACAGGTGTACAATATCGCAAATGAGCTTTACAATTAACATCTGATCATGCAATAATAATAATAAATAGAGGGGTATATTCACTAAAATATTACCTGACAACTAACTTGAAAGCTACACTACATACGTGAGAAAGAAACAGATCAAATGCAAAAATGTATTTGAATCAAAAATGAAAGAAAGAAGCAATTGGCCAACAAGAGATGCACATTTTGGCAGTCAGTTTAAATAAAGTATTAACTTTATCAGAGATTGTATTATCTTAAAATCTGGTATTTAAATGTATATACCTATTCAACTCACAATTTAGTGAACATGATGCAAATCATACCAACACAAATATATCTGCAATTGTATGTGTCCTTACCTTATTAAATAATTCAGTTCTTTCAGACAAACTCTCTCTACCCTTCATGAGATTTGTGTGTTCCACAATACCCCCATTGCAGTTGTTTTATACCAGTGTCTGAACCTATTGTCCCTCCCATTTTTTCTAAAATATGTTTTTCTAGGCTATTTTTTTTTTTAAACTTGGTTTGCTGCCAGAACAAGATCAATTACAGTTAAGTTAGTACATTCTTTTTTTCACAATATCATAGTTAAAAAATAAACTCTATAGGTTGAGGTTTAAAAAGCAATGATATTCTCTGAACTGGAGTGTGCATCGCTCTGTAGTCGAACTATGTAATCTTTTTGATTGCATTGTTTTACCTGTAACTTTTTACTTGCAAATAGATAGGGTGACTATGCTTATTTCATTTCATTTATTTCGTACATCAAGACTGCAGGCTGTTTTAAAATCAATGGGGTTGAAGTATTTAAGGCACCCACTATAGGCACCCAGACCATTTCATCTCATTGAAGTGGTCTGGGTGCAGTGTCTCTGTTCTCATTAGTGCTACAATGTAAAACATTGCAGTACTAAGACACTCTAATGGCTGTCTACCAGACAGCCACTAGAGGCGCTTTTATTGATCTTACCAAACTTTAAGTCCTCTAAATGACACTGGACATCCTCACGCATTAGGACATCCAGCAACATGATGACGTCCGAGGAGGTGAAGCTCTAACCCAGTAAAATAAAATGTTGTACTAAATCTGCAGATTTAGAAAGATCCTCCAAGCTAGTTAGTGTCAAAACTTTGAATGAATTCTTAGAAGGATTAAGATCCAATAGTGCCCGCCCGAGGCAGGTTACTGGTTTGCATCTCATTCTTCACATAGTGATGACGAATGGGGCCAAGCAATTTCATGGTTCTATGAACCCTGTCTAACTCTTGGAACCTAAACAGTCGCCTAATGAAACAGTTTTACGGTGATATTGCATACACTTAAAAATATAATTTACATCTAACTAGTATTCTTTTATCGAAAATTTCTTTTTCATTGATACACAGTTGTGCTCAAAAGTTTGCATACCGTGGAAGAAATTGTGACATTTTAGCATTCATTTTGAAAACATGACTCATCATGAAAAAAAAAATGTATTTTATTGAAGGATAGTGATCATATGAAGCTATTTATTATAACATAGTTTTATGGCTCCTTTTTAAATCATAATAATAACAGAAAACACCCAAATGGCCCTGATTAAAAGTTTGCATACCCTTGAATGTTTGGCATTGTTACAGACACACAAGGTGACACACAGGTTAAACTGGCAATTAAAGGTTAATTTCCCACACCTGTGGATTTTTAAATTGCAATTAGTGTCTGTGTATAACTAGTCAATGAGTTAGTTAGCTCTCACGTAGATGCACTGAGCAGGTTAGATACTGAGCCATGAAGAGCTGAAAAGTACTGTCAAAAGACCTGCGTAATAAGGTACTGGAGCTTTCTAGAGATGGAAAAGGATATAAAAAGAAATCCAAATCATTGAAAAGGCAGTACTGTTCAATCACTTATTAAGAAGTGGAAAATTTGGGAATCTCTTAATACCAAGCCAGGGTCAGGTAAACCAAGAAAGATTTCAGCCACAACTGCCAGAAGATTTGTTTGGGACATAAAGAAAAACCCACAGGTAACCTCAGGAGAAATACAGGCTGCTCTGGAAAAATATGGTGTGGTTGTTTCAAGGCGCACAATACGACGATACTTAAACAAAAATGAGCTACATGGTTAAGTTGCCAGAAAGAAGCCTTTACTGTGCCAATACCACAAAAAAAGCCTGGTTACAATATGCCCAACAACACCTTGACATGCCTCTCAGCTTCTCGCACACTTTAATTTGGAGTGACAAGACCAAAATAGAGCTTTATGATCACAACCATAAGTGCTATGTTTGGAAAATTGACAATAAGGCCAATAGTGAAAAGAATACCATCCCCATTGTGAAGCATGGTGGTGGCTCACTGATGTTTTGGGGAGGTGTGAGCTCTAAAGGCATGGGGCATCTTGTTAAAATTGATGGCAAGATGATTTCAGCATGTTATCCGATAATACTGGAACACAATTTGCATTCTTCTGCACAAAGGCTGCGTATGAGATGCTCTTGGACTTCCCAGCATGACAATGACTCTAAGCATAAGGCCTAGTGGTTACAGCATAAAAAGGTGAAGGTTCTGGAGTGGCCATCACAGTCTCCTGAGCTTAATATCATTGAGCCACTCTGGGGAGATCTCAAAGGCGCGGTTCATGCAAGACGACCAAAGATTTTGCATGACCTGGAGGCGTTTTGCCAAGACAAATGGGCATCTATACCACCTGCAATAATTAGGGCCTCATAGACAACTATTACAAAAGATTGCACTCTGTCATTGATGCTAGAGGGGGCAATACACAGGATTAAGAACTTAGGGTATGCAGACTTTTCAACAGGGGTCATTTAACTGTTTTCTTTGTTGCCATGTTTTGTTTTATGACTGTGCCATTCTGTTACATATACACACACATACACCCAAAACAATTAGACAATATCAACCCAGCTAATGTCATACCGTAGATATTTTAGCCAAATTTGTAAATTCTTTTTTTCAGTTTACTACAATTAAACATTTAGTAGATGAACCCAAAAATGTGCAGCTGCCATAATTTTCAAGCTGAATTAATAAAAAGCTTTTATTACAACATTGATTTTGGATATCACTTACATCACTGTTGATACAATCAAATTACATACAATGTTACTACAAAACAAGAATAATAGTTTTATCAGGAACATGCAATAACAATCAACTAAAATAACATTCTCATTCAAAAACAAGAAGACTGCTTTCAATGACGTTTATTTGTAGTTTGTATTCATCAATACCAGAACATAATGCTATAACATTTTTTTTTAAATCTTGGGTTAAAGAAAACCGGGTGTGCTGTAGAGTCTGAGCAGAATTTTGTTCTGAAAAATAGTTAATTTAGTCATCACTCATGTCTTCTTGTGATAAGGGTTCACCAAATAAACTGCATGGACATTCAGTAGGACTTAGAGAGGATGCTGGAAAACATTCTCATTGTGAAAGCATTATGACTAGTGATGTCCCGAATGGTTCGCCAAACAGTTCGCGAACGGTTCGCAACGAACGGTTTGCCGCAGACTCATCATTGAGTAAACTTTGACCCTGTACCTCACAGTCAGCAGACACATTCCAGCCAATCAGCAGCATGCCCTCCCTCCCAGAGCCTCCCACCTCCTGGACAGCATCCATTTTACATTCATTGTGAAGCTGCATTCTTAGTGAGCTGTCCAGGAGGTGGGAGGGTCTGGGAGCAGGGCCGGACTGGCCCACCGGGATACCGGGAAATTTCCCGGTGGGCCGTTGGCACCTGGGGCCGGGCAGGCAGCTGGCTCCCCTGCGGCCGCACAGAGAGCTCTTCTGGCGGCCGCAGGGGGAGCTGGCTGTTCTGTCTCTGCTCCCCCTCCCCAGCGCACTACAAAGAGACCGGGGCCGGAATATGACGTCATATTCCGGCCCCGGTCTCATTAAGCTGCGCGCTGGGGAGGGAGAGCAGAGACAGAACAGCCAGCTCCCCCTGAGAACAGCCAGCTCCCCCTGCGGCCGCCAGAAGACTCAGCTCCCCCATGTGGCCGCCAGCACAAAGATAGAAATTATGTGTGTCAGTGTGAGTGTGTGTCTGTCTGTGTCATTGTGTGTGTGTCTGTCTGTGTCATTGTGTGTGTGTCTCTGTCATGGTGTGTATGTCTGTGTCATGGTGTGTATGTCTGTGTCATTGTGTGTGTGTCTGTCTGTGTCATTGTGTGTGTGTCTCTGTCTGTCATGGTGTGTATGTCTGTGTCATGGTGTGTATGTCTGTGTCATGGTGTGTGTGTCTGTCTGTGTAATTGTGTGTGTCTGTCATTGTGTGTATCTCTGTCTGTCATGGTGTGTGTGTGCCTGTCAGTGTGACTATATGTGTGTCTGTCAGTGTGACTGTATGTGTGTCTGTGTCATGGTGTGTGTGTCTGTATGTGTCATTGTGTGTGTGTCTCTGTCATGGTGTGTCTCTCTGTGTCATGGTGTGTGTGTGTGTCTCTCTGTGTCATGGTGTGTGTGTGTGTCTCTGTCCGTCATGGTGTGTGTCTGTGTCATTGTGTGTGTGTGTGTGTCTGTCATGTAATGTGTGTCTGTCTGTGTCATGGTCTGTCTATGTCATGGTGTGTGTGTGTGTTTGTCATGGTGTGTGCGTGTCTGTCTGCGTCACTGTGTGTCTGTGTCACGGTCTCTTTTTTTTTTTCGTTTGACATCCCATTTTTGTATTTTGTGTCATGGTGTGTGTGTCTGTCTGTGTCACAGTGTGTGTTTGTGTCACAGTCTGTCTGTGTTATGGTGTTTTTCTGTCATGGTATGTGTGTGTCTCTGTCATGGTGTGTGTATGTCTTTGTCATGGTGTGTCTGTGTTTCTGTCTGTGTCACGGTGTGTGTGTGTGTGTCTGTGTCACGGTCTGTCTGTGACCTTTTCCCCTCCCACGTCGTGCTGGTCTCCCCTCGACTGGCCCTGCCTCTATGGCTGAGATCATCAAGCTTGATGATCTCAGCCAATCCACACTGACACAGGAAGCACCTCTAGTGACCGTCTGAGTGTCTGTCACTAGGAAGCAATGTAAACACTGCCTTTTCTCTAAAAAGTCAGTGTTTACATTGAAAAGTCTGCAGGGACAGGCTATAGACAGAACCACTACATTAAGCTGTGTGTGTGTGCGTGCGTGTGTGTGTGTGCTGCGTGCGTGTGTGCGTGCCTGCTACTGAGTGAGCTTGTGTTTTTATGTCAATGACCTTATGTATATCAGTGAGATTGTTTGTCTATGAGGCTGTGTATCAATCAGCTTGTGTCAGTGAGATTGTCTGTGTCTGCATGTGAGTATGCTTACTGTATAATTAAAAATGTTACTCTGAAAGGACCAATATTTTATATTGGAAAAAGCAATATATATATCAATCATCTAGGGTGGCAAGACATAGCCTTACATATTACACGCGACAATATATGGCGCAATGACTTATGGGGCTGGCATAGATTTTTTTTCCAGGGCTGCTTTGGAATCCCCAGTCCGGCCCTGTCTGGGAGGGAGTGTCTGCTGCTGATTGGCTGGAATGTGTCTGCTGACTGTGAGGTACAGGGTCAAAGTTTACTCAATGATGAGTCCGTGGCGAACCGTTCGGCGAACCGTTCGGGACATCACTAATTATGACTATGAAATGCCAGACTGACTATGTGCAAAAATACATAATAGTGCTTAGCAATGTGAGAGTTTGTAACCACGAAATTACATAAATTCAGAGTAAGCAGTGCCTGTACTGACTCTTCCTTGAAGATCACATGTGTATGCTCCGAAATAAACCACTCAAATGGACCACTGTGTTTTTTATCTTCTCTTGGTCTAAAGAAAAAAAATGATTAACATCAGTGCTCTCACAGTAAAGGTTCGGTTCTCAAATGAACCCACCCAAACCTCTTTCCATGTTACGTTAAATAAAAGTCTATAAGACAATACAGGGTCCAATACCGTTATTGTTGTTAGATCTCTATGCCTGTTTATTTACCAACTCTTAATTCTGAAATTCATTGCTTAAAGAAACACTCTAGGAACCATACCGACGACATTCTTTTTTGTAGCTGCCTTTTTTTCAGAGACGTCAACCTATTTTAGCACAATTTGATAAGTCACTTGGGTCAAATGGCTACAACTGCTGGTTTCCAGGAGAAGAAGCTGCATTGTTCTATAGCACAAAGCAGAACCATGCAGGATCACTCTCATTGGCTGGAAGCCTACACGGCTTTCTCAGCCAATTAGCGCAGTCCTGCATCAACCATGCTATATTCTACAGTGACATCTGATTTCTCTTGCTGGAGAACTTTATTTGCAGATTAGACAGCTGAGGAACCCAGGTAAGTTTTCAATTTACTGTGGAGTAGGATCTGGATACTCCTGGCACCATAACTACAGCAGACTGTAGCAGTTATGATGCTTTGTGTGCTGTGAATTAACTTAACATGGCTGGAATTCCAAAGAAACAACTCTTATCTATTAATCATTTTTAAACTACAAACCATTTACTGTCTACAAAGTGCTGGGCAGTACTTTTATAATCTGCCTGACAGAATACAGAAAGAGTCCTAGAAAATATGTGGTGAGTGAGGTTCTCTGTAGCATATCTCATAACAAAACATAACATGGCATGCCTCTTTTTGTTAGGCTCTTTCAAATTTTAAGATCTAAAAGTGCCCATATTTTCAGGCACACAATAACCAGCACTCACTAAACTCTCCCAATAGGGGCAATAGGGTACATGAATTGTGCACTATCTTGAGTTTTGCACCAAAACCCCAAATCCACAAACAAAATAAAGTTCCAACGATCTTAGAAAGTGAAAAAGACACCCCTTTTTTGCACTCAACACACCTGTAGTCTTTATCAGGCAAGTTTGAACATTTTCTAATGTTCTTATAACTAAAAATAACTTATTTTGAAAATGTTTGCAGTTAAGCTGAAATGAACAAGTATTTTTCCATATCTCCACATTTCCCAATCTGGTGAATAATCCCAAAATGGCATTTTACTTCTCTAACATTGAAAACAAACCTTACAAGCTTAACACCTTAAAATAAGGATCATTTGTGTCTTCCCTACCAGAGAGTAACCATGGTTCTCATGATTAGCATAGTCAATGGGTAATACCTTAATACATTTAGGTGTTTAGTGTCTGCAAAAAATAATAAATGCCTAACTTCAAGACAATCATATAATAGCACCGAACCATATTTACTTTCTATGAAAGTAAAGGTACTAAAATGTCCTGCAAATGCCCATTAGGGAATAGGTATGGGACAAGGCCAATGGGTAGAATACAGGTTAACACAAATACAAATAAAAAAATATATATACAGTTGCAAGAAAAAGTATGTGAACCCTTTGGAATGATATGGATTTCTGCACAAATTGGTCATAAAATGTGATCTGATCATCATCTAAGTCACAACAATAGACAATCACAGTCTGCTTAAACTAATAACACACAAAGAATGAAATGTTGCCATGTTTTTATTGAACACACCATGTAAACATTCACAGTGCAGGTGGAAAAAGTATGTGAACCCCTAGACTAATGACATCTCCAAGAGCTAATTGGAGTGAGATGTCAGCCAACTGGAGTCCAATCAATGAGATGAGATTGGAGGTGTTGGTTACAGCTGCCCTGCCCTATAAAAAAAAACACACACCAGTTCTGGGTTTGCTTTTCACAAGAAGCATTGCCTGATGTGAATGATGCCTCGCACAAAAGAGCTCTCAGAAGACCTATGATAAAGAATTGTTGACTTGCATAAAGCTGGAAAGGGTTTTAAAAGTATCTCCAAAAGCCTTGCTGTTCATCAGTCCACGGTAAGGGATGAGGTTTTGATGTTGATGTGCTGTGCCTTTTTTTCACCACACATAGTGTTGTGTGTTTCTTCCAAACAACTCAACTTTGGTTTCATCTATCCACAGAATATTTTGCCAGTACTGCTGTGGAACATCCAGGTGCTCTTGTGCAAACTGTAAACGTGCAGCAATGTTTTGTTTGGACAGCAGTGGCTTCCTCTGTGGTATCCTCCCATGAAATCTTGTTTAGTGTTTTACATATTGTAGGCTCACTAACAGGGATGTTAGCATTTGCCAGTGACTTTTGTAAGTCTTTAGCTGACACTCTAGGATTCTTCTTCACCTCATTGAGCAGTATGCGCTGTTGTCTTGCAGTCATCTTTACAGGACGGCCACTCCTAGGGAGAGTAGCAGCAGTGCTGAACTTTCTTCATTTATAGACAATTTGTCTTACCGTGGACTGAAGAACAGCAAGGAGATACTTTTATAACCCTTTCCAGCTTTATGCAAGTCAACAATTCTTAATCGTAGGTCTTCTGAGAGCTCTTTTGTGCGAGGCATCATTCACATCAGGCAATGCTTCTTGTGGAAAGCAAACCCATAACTGGTGTGTGTTTTTTTTTATAGGGCAGGGCACCTGTAACCAACACATCCAATCTCATCTCATTGATTAGACTCCAGTTGGCTGACATCTCACTCCAATTAGCTCTTGGAGATGTCATTAGTCTAGGGGTTCACATACTTTTTCCACCTGCACTGTGAATGTTTACATGGTGTGTTCAATATAAACATGGCAACATTTAATTATTTGTGTGTTATTAGTTTAAGCAGACTGTGATTGTCTATTGTTGTGACTTAGATGATGATCAGATCACATTTTATGACCAATTTGTGCAGAAATCCATATCATTCCAAAGGGTTCACATACTTTTTCTTGCAACTGTATATATATATTTGCCTCCATCTGCATACTGCACCTCTAACACATGCACACTGCATCCCTCACACACATTGCACCCCTTGCATCACACATTGCACCCCTCGCACACACATTGCACCCCTAACTCAGTGCTCCCCTCACGCACTGCACCCCTAGATATACTACATTCCTTATACACACACTACATCACTTATACACATTAAATTCCAAACACACAATCGAGATCCCCTACACACACACTAGATCGCCTACACATAAACATTAGATTCCTTACACATACAATAGATCCACTATAGATATACACTGTACCACCTACACGCACACTACATTCCTGACATACACACTCTGGATCCCCTATGCACACACTAGATCCCCTGTACAGAAAAACACATGCAACACATTTCCTATACACACACTCTCTACAGCCCCTACACAAACTACATCACCCATACATACCAGTAGGGATACACTTGTTACATCCCCTATACAAACTATACCCTCTATACACACACACTCTCACTCTCTACAGCCACACATTTTACATCACAAACAGAACACAGCTAAAACTGACTGATTTACACAATACACCACACCATAATCAGCTCACTTTACACACACATGTAACCCCACAAGCAGCCTTTAAAACACAAGCATAATACACTTTCCTGTCCCTTTTATCCCCTGGTATCCCACTTATGGAGACACCAGAGACCAGTCACAAGCAACAAAGTGCAAGCATGTCATTAAATTTGCTTGTGCTGTGCAGAACAAATATAGGGCCTTTTTCTCATGTGAGAGCTCTTCAGCAGGGCTCTGCGCATGGGCTGGCCTGGCAGAGCATTGAATCAACATGCTCACTTTGGCATGGGTCATGTTGTCATTGGTGATGACAAAACACACTCCTTTCTGGCCCCACCTCCTTCTCACTGGGCTGCTGTGATTAAAAAAAAAGTATGCCAAATATTTCCCCAGTCCGGCCCTGCCTGTAACGGAGAATAAACTTTTTGCAGGTGGACACTGAGTTCAAACAATTATTACCCACTTCTTCATGAGCAGCATGCTCGTCAATCATATATGACAGCAAAATTATATTACATAAAATCTTAAAGTGTGACATTCCTTTTGAAATAATAACAATTGTAAGTTATGCACAGCTAACATTACTGTAGAAAGAGACATTCCCCTCAGCCATGGGAAATGTGTCCTAAAATATTAGGATCTGGTCATATTTGATTAATTTAGCCTTGTATAGATGATGGAAATG